TGTGTGTGTGTGTGTGTGTGTGTGTGTGTGTGTGTGTGTGTGTGTGTACCTGCTGACGGGTACATATGGAGGTCAGAAGTTAACTTGTGGGAGTCTGTTCTCTTCCACCGTGTAGGTCCCAGACACCAAACTCAGGCATGGCAACAAGCATCTTTACCTGCTGAGCCATTCTGCATGCCCTCTTTTAGGGTTTTTAATACAAGCTTTCTCTGCATAGCTCATGAGATCCTGGAGCTTGCTTTGATGTCCAGGCTGATTTCAAACTCATTGTAGGAACAGAAGAGTGTCTCTGCCCAAGTGTCAGGTTTCCAGTTATGCTCCGGCATGCCTAGCTCAGTATGCTTAGCTTAAGCACCCTGAAGACCTTCAACACAGCCAGAATAGCTCCAGTAGGATGCTGGCCTTTGCTTTGCTGTGTGACAGAACTTTTGGAAGTTCCACTTTCCCACTTGTAAAATAACTTAAGAAGACTCTTTGTACAGTATAAGCATCTTTATCATTAGTGTGTCATAAGGATCAGCTAGGGTTAAAAGTTACCGTATTTTGAATGTATGAAATAAATTTCTTTAGGAAATAATGTATGCATTGTAATCCATTTAATAAATTTTACTATTAGTTTATTTGGTTTCCAGTTAATGGCACATAAAATCTATCTATTTGAATTGCAAAAATCAGGCTGGTTTGAATTAAGGAGGTGTGAAAAACTCTTGGGTTGAAAAAAATACGCAACACTTCCATCAATTAAAAGTAGGTAAAATGTGTTAAAAATAATGGAAAGTTCATGTTGAATTGAACTGGTTTTCTTCATGAGCTTATATTTTTATGAAGCTCTGTGAAACACATTTGAAACCGTGCCCATTATGGAATTTGTGTTAATTGTTATTATCCCCATAAAGTTCACATGATTAAGAAAAGTTTGCAATTATGCCAACCAGAAATGCACACTACCTGCCTTTCATTCCCACCTCTACCCAGATTTATTTTTGGTACTGAGAACTGATCTCCACCTTGGCAAACGGAATGTGTGCTAAATTGAAAATTTCCTCTGAGTGCCCTGGAGACTTCAGACAGCAGGTTTCCAAAATCGTAGGGTATTTTCACTAATCAGACACAACTTTCTTTGTTCTTTTTGCCTTTGTCAAGAGTGAAGATTGTTTCTGTACTTACCCCCCGCTCCCATCACAATCTTAAATATCACTGTGCTAGAAGGCACTGCAATCTTAATTAAAAGAGCAGTCTAATTATTTACCCTGGTTGGTTCACACAAACCTCTACAGTATAATCAGTGGACTCCCTGAAGGGGCTTCATGATATTTCAGAATGGAGTGGGGAAGTTTGGTACTGACTTCAGCTCAGCTAACATGTAATGAAGTCTGACCTACAATTCACCCTTAGGTCACCAGATCAAACAGAACTTATCTGAGCAATGTCCAAAGATATGCGCCGTTATTGACTGAGCTGGTAGGTGGCACGCAGAGAACACTTGGCAGTTACCTTCCTGAGTCTCAGAGAACCTTCCGCGTGTTTCTGAGGGACGGAGGGAAAGCAGAGGGCAGCCAGGCAGGTCATTCCCTTTTTTGACAGACTCCACGACAAGCCCATGAGGCAAGTTTGAGGACAGCTCAGATGGCTAGAGGTGTTTTGTGACAATCTCTTCCTGCACCTGGCCTGAGCACTAACTGCCGTTGTAGGGTATGCCTGCGGCCTAGTCATCAGGCAAGGTGGCCCCCTGGAAGTGAGGCACAGATGCTTCCAGGCCAAGCACAGAGGTCAGATGTGTCCTTTAAACCTTTGTCCTTGGGCTTCTCTGCAATAAAGAGGTAGAAGTGCCTTACTGAAGGACACCCAAAGGGTCCTGGGGTCCCCTCTGAAAGTCCATTTTGGAAAAAATAGGCCCTAACAACTTTGGCTTAACGACGTAAGGTGACCTGACTCTGCCATAAACATACATCAGTGCCAAAGGTCTACTCAGTTTACATCATGGACTAGGTGGGCCTGAGAAAGAAGTGAATAGCAACCAAACAACCCTACAGCATAGCAGAAGAGTTCAGGTAGTGGGGAAAAATATAGATATAAAATAATAAAGGACATTCAGTAGAGAAAGCTATTGGGATATTAAACAGGAAAGCTATTAGAACTATATCTTTATTGAGAGATAGTGTGAGGCTCAGGAAGAGATGGCTAGACATGGAAGGGAGCGTTGAACATGCCCACATACTCCTTTGACATGTGGGGATGTGACTAAATGTTTTACCTCACGTAGATGATTCCACAGGGAGGTGGCAATTCATCCAGGTCACAAGAAGACGGATTTGATCTGACCTTCCAGATCTAATTCCATCTGCAGTTTTAGCTGAGTAAAGCCAGGACCCCACAGTGGAAATTGACTAACTCTGTTTCATAATCCCACAGGCATTGTGAGTCAAGAAGGTCAACTGAGACGCAAAAGAAGTGAGTGGAGAGGCATAGATGGAGCCTCCCTTGGGTGGTCTGAACAGGAGGACGGCGGCATGAGGCTCTCCCTGCTACAGGTAACAAGTAGGCAGCTTGTGGCCCTGGCTCCCAGACATAGGCATGTTGGTGTAGAACGTAAATTCAAACAGAAAGGCTTTATTTTGTAACGAATTAATGTTCGTTTTGGATAATTAGATGGAATGCTGATAGAAGCCTCTAGGAAACATCCCCAAAGACATCCTCCTGTCTCAGTAGGGAATGAGTCATCCATCTGTTTCCCCAAAGCAATATATAGAGTTCTTCTGACTACTCGCCCTTTGCTGGGATTACAAAGCCAGCCAGCCATACTCTGGACCCTACAGAGATGACAGTCAAATAAAGTGTCCCAGGAGGGACACTCTTGCTGCCAAGCACCTGGGGATGTGAACAAAGGAGACACAGACTCTTGAGAATTTATTTATTCATTTGTTTGTTTATTCTTCAATGTTAAGAGGACAATGTCTCCCTGGAAGAACCCGCCAGGTGGGCACTATGCATTTTCTTTCTGTTTCTTTACACATCCACTATTCAACAAGTTGTGAAACAAACCCAAAGATACAATATTTCCCCCTCACTGAAATTTACTGAAGGCTCCAGAAAGTCCCGGAAAATTATTTGCTTCACCTAACACTTCCCAAGTAGGGGTAAGGTCAAACTCCTTTGTGCAGGTAACAGGCTGGTCATTGTGTTGACCAGTTTGGGAACACCTTTTGAGCTAAGTCCAAAGCTTCTGCCAGCCTGGCCTCATTAACCAAAACACACCCTTTGAACTGTCATCATTATTTATGCCCATCCTCCCTTTTGGACACATAATAATTACTTTTGCTATCTTTTCAACTTTAGCCACCTCTGATGCCACCCCCTTCATGAAGCTCAGGCTGATTATTCCAGATTAGGCTCATGTTGCTATACTCTGGCCATTGAAGGCAATTTTTAGCTAGGTCCCTTAGTATTTATTTAATTATCAGCCAATGCTTACTTAGTACTATTTTGCGCTCTTTTTGCCGTTTATGCTTGTAATGTTACTCTTTCCATCTTTACAGTGACTATATTAGCTTGTAAACCTGAAGGACTTTCATGTCGAAAAGAGGAGTATTTTCATTACTTTTCTCATTGTAGTGATCAGATGAAAAAAACTTACCACAGGTAGGCTTCATTTGGCTTAAAGTTTACAGCCTACAGATCCTTTCTGGAAAGTGTTAGGTTAAGCAAATAATTTCGCAGAACTTTTTGGAGCCCTTAGTGAACTTCAGCCAGAGGAAGGGGTTTCATTAATCCCAGTGGGAAAACATAGTGGCAAGAGTGTCGGGCCATTGGTCACATTGGATCCTCAGTCAGAGAGTGGGGCTTGGCAATAAAATCTCAAAGCTTGCCCTCAGTGACTCATTTATTTCTATGAGGTTCCATGTCTGTAAGGCCTGTAACCTTCTAAAACAGGACCACCAGCCAGGACCAAGTGTTCTAGCCTATGGGGGATATTTCACATTCAAACAACAGCCCAGAATTGTGAAAGAATTTAAAGCTCAGGAGATGGTTCTATCCATAAAGTGCTCTTGGCCTCCAAGTTTGCTCTTGTCTTTGAAAAGGGAGGTTTGTCAGACAGATCTGCCCTTCTAGACTAATCATAAAACCCACAGGCAAACAAAAAGCTAGTCCAAAGCACTGTGACTTCCAGTTCAGTGTGACTGTTGGATTTTGTGTGAAGAGGTGCCTGGGTCCCGCTGTGGCTAGTATGTACACCTGGTGTCCATAGCCTGGATGTCTCAAACATGCAGTCATTTCTCAGGCTGGGAATACTCAGCTGTCTGGTTTGTCAGCTCGGTTGTTAAGCCACGTGGCTGTCTGCAGATAACCAAATAGTCTAGAAAAAGAAGTTAGTTTCTTCTTGTATTTTATATACCACACTTATCAATTAAGGAAAAACGACTGTTAGGTCACTAAACATCTATTACATGTCTATTATCTGCTGGATCGTTACTGACAGTTGTACAACAGGAAATGAAGGACAGATCTGTATTGTGATGGAGGACACAGGATACAGGGAGACAAATTAGGGGATAATAACAGCAGTATTAACGAAAGAGGTAAGTGGTAGTAGAAAACTAAAGTTAAGTATAGGAGAGAAAGCATTGGGAGGATCAGAGAAGACTCCCCCATTGAGATGCCTCTTGAACAGGACTGTAAAGGGAATGTAGGAGGTATATGGGCTCAGAGTCAACTAATAGGCAAAACCAAAACAAAACAAAACGAAACTCCAGGATAAAGGAAAAGAATGGCTGGAAGCAAGCTAAAGAAGCATGCTGGGCATTCTGATGGCATCAACAAGTATTTTATCTGTAAGGAAATCAGGAAGTGATAGTGGATTCTAAGGAGAAGACCGAATTGGCGTTTGCAAAAGATTCTTCTGGGTAGGTGGAATGGTGAATGTATTGAATATCCTGAGGGGTGAAGAGGGGAGAAGAAAGAGAGGGAGAGGAGTTAAGGACTGGGTGGGAGGGGCAGACATAGCTTAAGTTGTGGAAGATGGAAGATTCTAGTAGTAGCTTGAGTCATAACAGGATTTCTTGGCACTGCAGTATTCGATGCTAGATAATTCTCAGTGACAGGGATTTCTCACAGGATCTAAGGTAGAGGTTCTTAACCTGTAGGTCTCAATCCTTTGCAGAAGGGTGGGGTTGGCGAGTGGAGGAATGGGGAGGTGAGAGTAGGGGGGACACCAAACAACCCTTTTACAGGGAAAACATGCAAGATAGCCTACTTATTAGATATTTACATTAGGATTCATAACAGTAGCAAAACTACAGTTATGAAGTAGCAATAAAAATGTGGTTGGAGGTCACCATAACATGTGGAACTCTATTAACCCTTCACAGCATTATGAAGGTTGATAACCACTGATGTAAGGCCTTCATAAGCATCTGTGATGTCTACCTAACTAGATGTCACGATCTCCCCATCAGTCCCTTCTCCAGTTCTGAGAACTCTAGAACAACTGCCAAACTACATTATTGGTAGAAGGATGGAGGATGGATTTGAACACTTAGGAAGGAGAATCAGTGAGAAATGCCGTGATCAGTCTGATGGGGGGGAGGAGGCCAGCTGAGAGGATAGCTTTCCACCAGAGATATCTTTGGGTGATGCTGGAGAAAGAACAGGCTTGTTGGGAAAGATGCCTGCCTAACTTATGCTCACAGGAGCAGCTCATGAGACCCCTCCACTAGAGATTAGAACAAGAATTGAATTTCCAGGGGGAGTTAGTATGACGTGGAAAGGATAGGAGCTCCACAAGGACCAAATATATCTGGGCACAGGGTCTTTTCTGAGACTGACACCCCACCAAGGACCATGTATGGATATAACCTAGAACCTCTGCTCGGATGTAGCCTGTGGTAGCTTAGTAACCAATTGGTTTCCCATAGTAAAGGGAAAAGGGACTATTTCTGACAGGAACTCAATGGCAGGCTCTTTGACCTCCCCACCCCCCATGGGAGGACCAGTCCTGCTAGGCCACAGAGGAGAGCTTTGCAGCCAGTCCTGAAGATACCTGATAAAACAGGATCAGATGAAAGGGGAGGCGGTCCTTCCCAATCAGTGGACTTGGAAAGGGGCATGGAGGAGATAAGGGAGGGAGGGAGGGATTGGGAGAGAATGAGGGAGTGGGATACAGCTGGGATACAGAGTTAGTAAAATGTAACTAAACAACAAACAAACAAACAAACAAACAAACAAAAAAAGGAGTGAATTTCCATTTCTGGAGTACAGGAAGGAAAGCTGCTTTGACAGACACTTGATTGCCCATACAATGACTGGGGCCATCCTGGAGATGCGTGGGATTGGCTAGGTAACACCTGAGAGGGAGAAGGAAGAGAAGAGAGCTGAGGATAGCCCCATAACAAAGCTAAAGTCTAAAGGAGGGTCCCCCAAGAAGGTCCGAAGACCCACCAAAGGACATTCACATCTGACAGCATAGCACTGAATTATGCAGAGCCCCGGAATGTGTGGGTGTTTAATCTTGATTCTCTCACTTACACTCCCATTGTCTTATACATATGATTTAGCTTTTCTTAACCTTTCTTTCTATTTTTGCCTTTTATTTGTCTTCAGTGCACCATTATGGGGTGTGTATCCATATGTGTGTGCATAAGAGAGAATCGGAGGACAACTCTTAAGTGTCATCAGTTATTATCTACCTTTTAATTTTCATTCATTTCTTTATATTTTGAGATGTTTTCTCTCACTGTTCTGGAATGGTCTCACTGCACCAGCGAGACCCAGTCTTACTGTCAAGTAAGCTAGGTTGGCTAGTCAGTAAGTCCCAAGGTTCTGGTCCCCTGTACCCCCTCCACCCCCCATCCTAGATCTGGAACTAAACTCACGGACAACATGCCCAGCAATTTTTACCTAGGTTCTAAGGATCGAACTAAGGTCCTCCTCCTTACAAGGCAAGCATTTTATTGATTGGGTTATCTCCTCAGTCAGCTCTAAGTTAGCCTTGTAGACATGGAGGGATTAGATGAATGTTGTGCTCAAAATCTTTAGCTCAGTACTCCGGCCTTTAGTAGGTGCTGTGTAAAATGGTAGAGCAGGAAGAGATGTAGAGGAGAGACAATAGCTGTGGGGCTGAGGGATGGAGACAGTCCTTAGGAGAACATTTAACTTGGAGCCCTTGGCAGTGTGAGCAGAGGCAGCCACATGTCAGCTAGTGTGCCTGAATAGGATCTGCTGTAACTCTACACAGCTCAAAGCTCACCATCCCCTCGGGTAATGTAATGAAAGGTGTTTTCCTCCTTCTCCACCAGGACAGGTGCTCAACTGATACAATTTAGGGTCTCAAATTCCACAGCTTAATTGTTTGTTCTACACACAAGTTAGCATAGCTCAGAACACCTGTGGACTAAGTTCTTTTGATGCACCAAAGCCTGTCTTTTATTAAGCTCTTTGCAAGCAGTCAAAATAAGACCAAATGTCCATACGCCCCCACTTATCCACGTGGGCAAGAAATAAGCCCTCGCAGGGATTGCACAGTTAGAACTTAAAA